TGTGTGTGTGTGTGTGTGTGTGTGTGTGTGTGTGTGTGTGTGTGTGTGTGTGTGTGTGTGTGTGTGTGTGTGTGTGTGTGTGTGTGAAAGAAATTAAAAGTAGATTTATAAAGGATTAACTGGACTAGTACACATTAAGTCATGTTTTTCTTTTGTATCTCGAGCTTTTATTCTTTATGTACAGGGATAGCATACAAAACTAGTTTTGTATGCTTTATTTTGACTGTATAATTTAAAGATATTGGTTAACCTGTTCCATTTTGCTGTGTTTAAGAACAGAACTGTATTTCAAGTCCTGATTATTTTTAGCCACTAGACAGTGCCTGCTCAGTCTGATTACCCACTCTCTATTAAGTTGTATTCATATCTATATTATTACCTTATCTGCATGGTACAACAGGTCTTTTTTGGTTTTGTTTTTTAAATGTATAATTTTTCTTTGATCACAGAAAAGCTTTGTTGACTTAATAATATTGTTCTTATGCAATGGCAAACCTATCATTATTTTTGCAGATTTGCCTTTGAAATAAAGATGTGTTCGCTACAATTGCACATTTGTGTCTCTTCCTTGTGTAGAGAGAATGTAAATGAGGTGCAGTTCATTCAGATTATTAGCAGGCCACCCAAACCCTCCCACTACACTGTCAGAAGTGACGGTACGGCCTGCGAGTGATGCAGGAAAACCCATGGCACAGTGAGCCACTGTGTGTCATCTGATTGTACATGACAAACGACCACGTTGTGTTGCCGTAAATCATGGTTTCTACTGTTACGTGGAAGGGGGTGTGACCACAACTAACCTGTTGACGGTGCTATGTAAATAATAACTTTTAATATGAACCATTTGGTAACATATTATATTGGACTTAACTGGACTAACCTGTGTGACTGGGTTAATATATTCTTGTGCTAGTATTGTTGGAATTAAAAAGTCTAGATAACACCAAAAATTAAAGCTGTATTTTATTTTTAAAGTGCAAATGACAATTTAATCAATTCAATCTTTTAAAGTGCTGTAGCATTCAAATTAGCCACTCCATTAGACTATGCAGTAGTTCCCTAGTTCATATATAATCTGTGTGAATTCGTAAACCTGTTAATGTCGCAGCAGCAGTGACTCGGGTCAACAGCGTCCTTCACTTCCCTGCCCTGCCAAGCACAATAAATAATGTGGCAGGCTGAGGCCTTTTGTGTCCACACAGATTCTTTCTTTTGCCCCGGGGTAGGCGGAAATCGAGGCGTTTGATCTGAATTCTGAAAGAGTCTTGTTGCAGCCCCATAAAGGGTGCCATTGTATGTAAATAGTTTATATAAGAGCATATGACCGCTACGGTGCAGGGCAGTGGCTAGTGGCGGAGGAATGATTAGCATTTTCCAAACGCATGGTGTTCTCAATCCAGCCTTTTGGCTCGCTAAAAAACACAAATTTGAATTTATTTCTTCCCATTTTGTACACATTTTTGTGTACCACCAGCAGCTGAAGGTAAAAATTCATGTTATCTCCTTTCTAATTGTTTTATACTAACATTCAGTGAGAGGTTGGATTTGGGGTGAGTGATGACTGACATGCCCCAGTGACTTGACTTGGCAAATACTTGGCATGCTTACGGTCTCATCCCCATTCCCTTTATGGTAGCAATGTTTTACTGAATATGCTTTAAAAGCCACATAATTTTAAGATCTGTTAAAGGAAAACCTCAAAGAACATAGCTATTCTCAAACAATAGAGATCTCTCAAGGGAAAAAAAAAAGGAAAGCCTCAATGAGATGCATGTCTTGCTGCTCCCTTGGAGAAATTTTCTGGCAGTCTGTCAGTCTGTCTGCAGTTGGGCTGTAAGCCAGCCTGGGAGTAGAGTATTAATACAGGATGAGCATATCACGTGGTTCTGCAAATGTTTTGCAATTGGTTTCAACCTGTTGCGTCTTCTGACGGTGCATGATGGCAGGCCATCGCCCCTGTTTTTATACAGCCGGCAGGCTACTTGGCAATTCTTGTCTGTTGTTCCTGACTGCCAAATCCGGCTTGATGCTCAGGTCATACTTCAAGATGGTCATCTTTGGACCCGGTGCTGCTTACGCCACTTGCACCGCCGGCTGAGCCTGGTAAACCTCTAACTACTCATGTTACACCGGTTCGATTTTTTCTGAAATGCTAAGTTTTGTGTGCAGTTATAGTCTAAAGACCTTATTTAACTGGCAAGCCATTGTGACTTCATGCCAGTAATAAAAAAGGGAGTGAATTTTCTTAGTAATTAGAATTTTGGGTGATTTTTAGATGCAAAGCATCCCACACATGTAACTGCCTACACCTGTAAAAACTTATATTAATCCCTTTTTTCCCTAGACCTGGAGTCGAAAATGAACTGGGGGTCCTTTTATGCCGTGATCAGCGGTGTAAACAGGCACTCTACTGGCATCGGACGCGTCTGGCTGTCTGTCATCTTCATCTTCCGCATCCTGGTCCTGGTGGTTGCTGCGGAGAGCGTCTGGGGCGATGAAAAGTCCGGCTTCACCTGCAACACCCAGCAGCCCGGCTGCAATAGCGTCTGCTATGACCAGTTCTTCCCAATTTCACACATCCGTCTGTGGGCGCTCCAGCTCATTCTGGTCTCCACCCCTGCGCTCTTAGTGGCCATGCACGTAGCCCACCGAAGGCACATCGACAAGAAGATCCTGAAGAGGGCAGGCCGCAGTAGTCCCAAAGAGCTGGAACACATCAAGAACCAGAAGTTTCAGATCACGGGCGCTCTGTGGTGGACATACATGATCAGTATCATCTTTAGAATAATTTTCGAAGTGGCTTTTCTCTACATCTTTTACTTGATCTATCCTGACTTTAAGATGGTGCGTTTGGTGAAATGTGACTCATTCCCTTGCCCCAATACGGTGGACTGCTTTGTCTCCAGACCGACAGAAAAGACCATATTCACTGTGTTCATGCTGGCAGTGTCTGCGGTGTGTGTGCTGCTCAACCTGGCAGAGGTGGTGTACCTCATAGGCAGGGCCTGCAAACGGTCCTTCCGCAGCTCTGAAGACGAGTCAAAGTTACCATGGATAAGCCAAAGATTGTCCACTTACAAGCAAAATGAAATCAATCAGCTGATAGCAGATCATTCTCTCAAGTCTAAGTTCACTGTGACCAAAAAGAGCCCAGCCGAGAGGGGTGAGAGGTGTTCTGCTTTCTGAGACTCTCTTGAACTAATAAGCAGTAACCTCACCTGACCACGTAGTATCTCGTGCATTAAAGTCACATATATACTGTGTATTAGGTCAATTTCAGCTTTTTGGCTATTTATTTATACATAATTCAGTCAGTGGATCTTAGGTACTTGTTTTTATCTGTTCATTTTTACTCACAAATATTGGCTGCCGTTCTCGCTTAAACTAGAGTCTGTAGTGAAGGTTTAAAGACCAAACTGGTGCTTAAGAACATTTTAACTCAAATCCAAGGTGGCTGTTGTTACAGTAAAATCAAGCTTACCTTGATTAGATCTTTAGGGTTTTTTTTTCTTTGTTTTTCTTTTTTCTGGATTCCACAATGCTTCTGAAAGCTTCCATTATATTATTTTTTTAGTATAAATAACAGTTTGTCAAGTTGTTGACAAGCTTAGGCTGACTATTAGTGTGATGCCTTGTTTTTGTAACAGCCGTATTGTTGTTGCAGCTCAGTATTCTTAGAAGAATAAAACAGGTGTACAGAATTGTTGTTGAATATGAGCAATTTAAAACATACCAGTTATAATTGGTGCTAAAAGTCTGTGAAGATTGCTGTTTGGAAAAGGGTTTGTAATCTGTACATAAGTCCACACCATAGCAGATCATTCGATACTGAAATTTAAGAAAATTGTGGATGCCACGATTCCAAACTAAACAAACGAAAACGCGTAACGGTAAAAGTCAACCGAAATGCTCTGAAGCATCACTTTGGTCCTTTAAAAATCGGAGGTTATTGAAGGAGTTGAAATGCTGGATGAGAAATTCAAAAAATGAAACCATTAGAAGCTAGTGGATGTATAGGAAAGCACATATAAATGGGTAAAATGACTTGAACAGCTGTTAACAGTATGGTGGTTAGATTTTATTTGATGGTCACTGATTTTTTCTGAACTTAATGTAGACCGCTTGTTGCTACAGTTGGTGCTAGAAAATACATTTTCAATTCAAAACAAAACAATGTAATACTGTCCAAACGTGATTGCCATGTCATCACCGGTGCCTGTAAGCCACAGTGTTGAAACCAGCTGCCTAATATCATGCCATCAAAAGAGCTCAAATGCACTGAAGCATGAAACTTCGACTTTTTGAAGTTGTGTGTCTGGAGAGTTTGGAGGCCAGGTTACTACCTTGATCTGTTGTGTTCAGATGGTAGCACTCTCACGCATGGAAAGAAGTTTCCACAGAGAACACTGTTTTGTAAGGATGTTCAACCATCAGCGGTTTTAATATTGTGGCTTCTACATGTGTGTTCACTTTGACTTGTCGGTAAACCTTCATCAATTTTCAGCTCATAATCCCCAAAAAGTTAAAAATGTCGGTGTTAGTCCTTTCCGCTTGTCTGCAGAGGTACCTCAGCTTAGAATTTGTCCAGTCTCATTACTGCAGATATATCCTTGAGTTAGAATACCTTTCCTTAATTTTCATCTTTGTAAAATTTTCTTCCAGTGGGCTTAAATAAATGTTTGCAGCTGACGTACTGTTTAACAGACCCTAGTATTAACCATCATGATATATTAGTGAACATCTCACTTGTCCTGTAAATGTAAATAAAATGTAAAGTAGCTGTTTATACAAATCGTTTGCCATGTGTGCGTGTAACATACAAAAAAACCCTTTCTAAATGCACCTGTAGCATTTTACATCCAGGTAATCAATCCTGATAAACTATACAATGGGTTGAAACAGTGTACATTGTGGATTATGAAGAAATAAACTGGCAGATAATATGAGATTATTTAGCAAACATGCAGTGTGTTGTTTCTTTGAGTACCTGATGAAATAATGAAATATGTCTGAAGTGAGTTGTTGTGTTTAGTAGCTAGGATTTTAACTCATTGAAACTCAGCTTTTTTAATAAATAAATACATTTACCCCTTTCCTGTCACTGTGATTTGGAACTTCAGGATGCCAGTAGTTGTTCATCTCCAAATCATTCCTGCACCACCACCATCCCATCTCCACCCCCATGATAGGAAAAGAGACCCTTGTGATATATTTAGATCTCGGGAACACTTGTGGCCAGACAGACTTAGCAGACAAGATCATTGGCCAGCTGCCCTGTCACTCGCCGTAGCATGCGAGCAGGGGTTTGTTTAATAGTTTACACTGGACAGTGCACACCGTGCCAAATTTAACCGAGGGGGGAGGGAGGGTCAAGGGAGAGCAGGTTTGTTGGTTGGTTCTTTGGATGAGTGTGTGTGCATATGTGTGCTGTGGCCGGCTAAAGACCCCTGGGCCTGGATTCTGATTTCTGCGAGAGTTGTATTTGAAGACAGAAGACTGAGTCACTGAGCTTGTCGGTGTGGAACTAAGTTTGTGGCTCGCAAGAGTCTGCTTTTCCTGTCCATTCAAGGGCATTGTTGGGGGTCCTAAGATTAGTGTTGCACTGAGGCCAGTCGGTAAAGCAGTGAGGCCTCATGGACCCTGCTAGACGTGGGAAGCTTTGCCACAGAGGATGTATGAGCTGACCCGGTGACTTTCTCCAGTAAATGTAAGTTTTCTGTGATTTTTTTTTTAACTTTATGCTTTATAGACTGAAATATTTGTTTCTTCAGGAGTTTAAATTATAGTCCTAAACCTAAAGTTAACTTATTAATGGTTCATGCTGTGGCCAAATGCTGTAAGTGCAGGTTAACAGCTGTCTTATGTGAGAACAGAAGTTGAAGTTGTTTCACTTCTTTTTCCTCGAATGATGGCATTATTCTTCATTGTAATGTGGGATCTCACACCGTGGAGTGCGGGTCCCATATTTAAATTGCTGTCCAATCTGCGATAGCTGGTGCTGGCTCCCTCAGCGTCAGCCCACCTGCCACATTTCAACACTTGAATTCATCCTCCAGAGCAGCATACCTTCTACTTCCACTCTTACTACTGTATAGACCATTCATCAGAAGCAGAATCTATTTAAAACCTAATGTGTCACAGGAGCTGACAGCGCTAACATTACTCAACTGTTTCTAATTCACACTCCCACCACATCTGCCCAGTGTTTGATTTCACTTCATGTGGCTCGTGTTGCCATGGCGGGGGTCATGAAGGCCAGGAGCCGCAGAATCATGTCTGAAACCTGCCTTCCTCCTGTCCACACTTGCCAAATATATACCCTCCCAAAGTAAATATAATCCTGTTTGCACCCACGCGGATAGGACCACTACCTGCTCAGTGGCGGCCGCCCAGTTGGACGCTCAGTTAGCAGCTTGGCTCCCAAAAGACTTGGTTGTTCTGATCTCTGCTGAACTTGGTAAGAGAATTTTTAGTCGTCAGGAAGGATGAGGCGTACGCTCAGGATTAGTTTTACTGTAGTCATTTAATCTCTGTTGCTGTGTACAACAGTCTATAGATGAAATAACTTTTTCTATTTTCAAATCCTCTGTAGTCCTAGATCTGACCTCTCACAGCCATGGGGGATTGGAACCTGCTGGGAAAGCTCCTGGAAAAAGCCCAGGAGCACTCCACCGTCGTGGGGAAGGTGTGGCTCACTGTCCTGTTCATCTTCCGCATCCTGATCCTGAGTGCTGCGACAGAGAAGGTGTGGGGCGACGAGCAGTCGGGCTTCACCTGCGACACCAAGCAGCCCGGTTGCGAGAACGTATGCTATGACATCACTTTCCCCATATCTCACGTCCGGTTCTGGGTGCTGCAGATAATCTTTGTATCCACACCGACTCTGATATACCTGGGGCACATTCTCCATCTAGTCCGGATGGAGGAAAAGCAGAAGGAGAAAGAAAAGGAGAGAGAAAAGGAGCACAGTCATCAATCAGACAAACAGACTCTCATTGTGGATGTGAAGCACAAGAAGGCTCTGATAAGAGACAATAAGGGACGAGTCCGCCTGCAGGGGGAGCTTTTGCGGACATATGTCTTCAATGTGATCTTCAAGACGCTGTTTGAGGTGGGCTTCATCGTGGCCCAGTACTTTTTGTACGGCTTTGAGCTCAAACCCATGTACACATGTGACAGACCCCCCTGCCCCAATGTGGTTAACTGCTACATATCCCGCCCCACAGAGAAAACCATCTTCATCATCTTTATGCTTGGAGTGGCCTCTGTGTCTCTGTTCCTCAACCTCATAGAGATCTACCATCTGGGTTTCACCAAGTGCAGCCAGGGCATCACCTTCAGGAGGCGCAACCAGTCCAATGGGAATATCTCCAAGGAGCCTGGCGAGACTGCAGTGCCATTTGCCCCAAGTTACGATGACTACTTCCACGAGCACCGCCAAGTCCAGCCAGCTTACCCACCAGTGCCGTGCTACACCGCGGCCACAGACTCGTCCTTCCACCCCTACCACAGCAAGGCAGCCTACAAACAGAACAAGGACAACTTGGCGGTGGAGAGGAGCAGCAGCAGCAAGCCAGAGGAATGTGACCTGAAAGGAAAGAAGGGAGCAGGATCTGCCCCTGGGTCACCTACGCAGGCCAGGCCTGGCCACAGTGCCAAACACAGCAACAACAAGACTAGAATAGACGATCTGAAGATATGAGGAGGTTTATGTTTCTCTGAGGGGTCTTAAAATGTGCAAGGGGATCATATGTTGCTTGGAAGTGTTCATACATGCCAAACTGACTCCCCTCTTCAAGATGGCACTGCTTTGACTCATTCCAGCTTAGAGGGGAGTAGTATTTACAGGGCACAGAGAGAAGCCTGAAATGGAACCACAAAAAAACAGCAACAACATTTCTGATAAACTTTCACAATAAAAGAAATTCTGCTTCTTTATATGTGGAGAAACAAAGTTGGATCTCACTTCAGACTGTAGCATTAAATGTTAGATACTAGTCTGTCGCTGCGGCAACAGACTAGTTTTTGTATCTGTGTTTTCTAAGTTGTGTTGACTGGTATGAATCTTTCCACCATTCAGAGAGGGTCTGCTCAGGTTTACAGTGAGCTCGTCTTTATTTTTCTCAACGTGTGAAACATCTAGAATTCAGGGCTGGAACTTGCACAGCACTGACCTGACCTCATTCGTGGAAATCAGATAGGGAGAAAAGTTAAATTTAACTCCCTTTAAATGTTTTGAGGTCATCATCTAGCATAGTTCACTTGCTTAGACTTGAAGTAAAGAGTTGTGCAATACCTGACAATTTATTGGAGGCTTGAACTGCTGTTACTAATTCCAGAGTGCGCCTCAAAAACAGATATTGCACGGGTCTCAGGAGTTCCCACATTTTTACTGTCTCTTTCCTTTTTTTTTTTTTATTGAGGCAGCCAGAAAGTAGGTAATGAAAAGCATGTCGATTGGTTTATTCTTGTTCATGTCTGGATTTGTGGCGTTTGTTTGCTTTGAAGCACTTGATGACAACCTTGTTTGCAAATCTGCTTGAAATAAATTGTCTTAAATTTGCACTTCAATTTGTGATTTTGAGTCTTTATCACACTGCAACTATTGATATGTCATAACCCTGGTGATAATACATGAAAACCAGCTGTAATATTGGCCCACACAGAAGCTGAAATGCAGCGCAGCTCTGAAGGCTTCTCTTTTGAAAACGATCACACTGTTAACGAACACGGGGTCTCTGAAATGAGGACATGCCACGTGATGTTTGACTCATCATTTTAACGTGTTTAAAACGGACATGTTGAAGCGAGAATAAACACGTGGAAAGTCTTTGCTGTCTGCGTGTCCCTCGCATGCATATCTTATACTCATCTGTGCCAAGAAGGCACACATCGCTGGCATGGAAACCTTGAAACTCATAGCATGTACATCATGAGGAAGCACCCTTGTGACTCTATGCTTGATGCCTCAAGGAGTTCATCCATCCATTTTCTTAGCTTATCCATCCGGGTGTCATTGTAGTGTTTTCTAGATTCATCTAAATATCGATAGTACTGATACCAATACTGATATCGGTATGAGATCAATACGAGCATGATAGGATCTTTACTGTGTTTCTATCCTCAAAGTTCATTATGTAGCCCACTAAAGTGTGTTGAATAATTATCTTTTTTTATACCTCAAACATGCGCTATGAAAAATATCTGAACCTTTTTTGTCTTGACTGTCACGTCTGTTTCATTTATAGCCTACACCGCGTTTAAACAAAAGTCAACCCAAAGGGCACATTTACATTTTAGGTGTCCATAGAAAAATTTTTAAATCTTTTCAAAATAAAATAAAAGTTGAAAGGTGTGATTTGTTGTGTCAAATGACTTTTGTGGAAATTAAATCATTAAAATATGTTCCGAATTTGCAAATTAATGATGATTCATGATGGAGT